GACAGCCGGGGCCTGGGCTCTGGGTGGGATGCACTGAGCCGCCGTGCAGGCGCAGGCAGTGAAGGGGGGACACTGGGGCAGTGGGGCTGGACCTCTCCTTACCCTGCGGGAGGCTTTCCCGCCGATCCACACGTCGCTGTGCCTGGAGTTGGCGCGAGCTTTGCAGCGCAGGCGCATGTTGGCTGCACGGCTGTGGACGGAGGCCACCGCCCCAAACCCGCTACCCTCCATGCCATCAACTCTCCCCACGCCATCCCTGCTTCCCCTCCGATGCCTTCACTGCCCCATGCTCCCTCCCCTGCCTCTCTGGGCCTCCCACCCCACCTCCTGACCCATGTGCGAGTGTCACCCCCCCCAACTCCTGCCCCACTCACCTCGGCACGCCTAAAGGTCTGCCAATTCTTCACAAACACATAGCGGTAGAGACGGCCCCCACTGCCTGTCATGACCATCCGGACGGTCTCGCTCTCCGTGGGGCAGGGTGGCTCTGGCTCCCCAGACTCCTCCTCACCCTCTTCATCTGGGATCTCCTGCTCCAGGGCACCTGCATCTGGGGGGGTGCACACACCAGTGGACCCTTCCAGCCTCAAATCAGAGCCTAGCCCTCGAACAATCCATGGATGCAGGGGGCTGGGAGGGGCCAGGGGACCCTGGTGTCCGGGCTGCTGAGGGTGTCCTGCTCCAGGGCACCTGCATCTGGGGGGGTGCACACACCAGTGGACCCTTCCAGCCTCAAATCAGAGCCCAGCCCTCAAACAATCCATGGATGCAGCGGGCTGGGAGGGGCCAGGGGACCCTGGTGTCTGGGCTGCTAAGGGTGGGGGAATCATTGGGAGGTTAGGGGATGCTGGGGTCCGGGATGAAGAGGGTCGGGGGAGATTGTGGGGCCAGGGAACCCAGGTGGCCAGCCCAGAGTGGGGTTGTGGGTCGGTGAGAGCACAGATCTGTGGGTACTGGAGCCCTGTCCTGTCCTTGCTGGGGTCTGACCCAACCCAAGCAGGGTGTGCGGGAGGGGAGGTTCCCATTGGGGAGATGGCCTATAGGTCAGACACCCCCCGGGGTGGGGGAAGGGCTGTAACCACAGGGACTTGGGCCCCAGAACTTACCCAGCTGGTGAGCAGAGACGGCCCCTAGCAGGGCAAGTGCCAGGACCAGGGACAGCTTCATCTTGGGTGGAGCTGGGGGGTGAAGTGCTGTGAGACACAGATTGACCCCCCCAATTCCTCCCACCCCCACCGAGCCCAGACTGACTGCTCCGCTTAGAACCCCACCGCCCGGCACTGCACCTGCCCTGTACCGCAGGCACCAGCAGTATGGGCACCCACTGGCTATGGAGAGAGACTGTCAGGGAGTGTCTACACTACAAAGTTAATTCGAACTAACAGCCATTAGTTCGAATTAACTT